TTTTGTGAGAGTGCTTCTCCGTCTGCAGCAGCAGCAGCAGGTGCTGCAGCATCTGCTGCTGCTGCTGCTGTTGGTGCCTGTACAGCAGCACCTGCAGCAGCAGCAGCAGCAGCAGCAGCAGCAGCCTCGGGGTAGATGGGGGGGATAGGGAGCTGCCCCGGTTGCTGCGTTTGGGTGCAGAGCCGGAGGATCTCCTCAAGTGTCCCTCCTGCTGCTGCTGCTGCTGTCGTTGTTGCTGCTGCTGCTCCTGGCGTTGCTGCTGCTGCTGCTGCTGCTGCTGCTGCTGCTGTTGCTGCTGCTGCTGCTGCTGCTTCCTCTTCAAGTGCATCGCTCCAGTCGCTCCACCCAGGGAGAGAGAGCTGCGCCCGCACGTTGGTGGTCCTCAGCATGTGCTTGATAAACTCCCGCTGTCTGCTGCTGTCTTCCATCCCTGCTGCTGCTGCTGCTGCTGCTGCTGTTGCTGCTGCTGTTGCTGCTGTTGCTTTTGCTGCTGCTGGCGCTGCAGAAGACTCGCTGCTCGGCCCATGAGTCTTATGGAAGCAGCACAAAGACAAGGAATCCTCGCTGTCTCCTGCTGCTGCTGCTGCTGCTGCTGCTGCTGCATTGCTGTCTCCTTTGGCAGCTTCTTGCATGCGCCCTGCTGCTGCTGCTCCTTCCAATGATGCTGATACAGGGGCAGCAGCAGCAGCAGCAGCAGCAGGAGCTGGAGCTGCTGCTGCAGCCATTGCGCGCATCGCTTCCCTCTTGCCCCCCTCCTGCTGCTCTTCATCTCTGTGCTGCGCCGCCTGCTGTAGCATCTGCTGCTGCTGCTGCTGCTGCTGCTGGTACTGCTGCTTCTGCTGCTGGCGCTGCTGTTGTTGCTGCTGATGCTGGTGCTGGTGCTGCACATGCTCATGCTGTGCCCGATGCCGCTGCTGCTGCCGCTGCTGCTGCGACTGGTGCTGCTGCTGCTGCTGCTGTTGCTGCTGCTGCTGCTGCTGCTGTTGCTGCTGCTGCTGTTGCTGTTGCCGGAGTAGGTGTTGCTGCAGCCGTTCTTGCTTCGGCTGTTGCTGCTGTCGCAGCAGTTGCTGCTGCTGTTGCTGCTGCTGCAGGCGCTCCTGCGCTTCAGAGGACTGCTGCCATGCTGCTGCTGCCGCTGCAGCTGCTGTGAGGCCGCAGACAGCCCCACCCTGTGCTGCTGCTGCTGCTGCTGCTGCTGCTGCTGCTGCTGCCTCATCAGTGTGCCTAGTGCTGCAAGGGATGTCCTGCGAGCTAACCCTGCTAGACAGTGCGGGTTCGCGCTGCTGTTGCTGCTGCTGCTGCTGCTGCTGCTGATGTTGTTGCTGTTGCTGGTGTTGCTGCTGTTGTTGCTGCGGGGAGTGTTGCAGCAGCTGCTGCCGTTGGTGTTGCTGCAGTTGCTGCTGTTGTTGCTGCTGCTGCCGTTGTTGTTGCTGCAGTTGCTGCCGTTGCTGCTTTTCCTGGTGCCAGAAGTCCTGCTGTCTGATGCTGCTCCAGTCTCTGCTGCTGCTGCTGCTGCTGCTACTGCTGCTGCTGCTGCTGCTGCTGCTGAACTGAGGGGCCTCGCCTTTGGGGATGTACTGCGGTGGATGCCACCCAATTGCAGTGGGCGCCCGGGGACCCTCAGCAGCAGCCGGTGCAGCAGCAGCAGCAGCAGCAGCAGCAGCTGCTGCTGCTGCTGCTGCAGCTGTTGCTGCAGCATCAGAAGGGGCAGCAGCAGCACCCCCAAAAGATCCAACGGGGAGCAGAGGAGGTGGAATACCTGGAGGCGCCGCAGCTAGTGACCCCCCTGCTGCTGCTGCTGTTGCTGCTGCTGCTGTTGCTGCCGCTGCTGCTGTTGCTGCTGCTGCTGCTGCTGTGTTCTGTTCTGCTTCCCCCTCCCTCTGCCTCAGCACAGCCCGTGTCGCTGTTGCTGCATCTGTTGCTGCTACAGCTGCTGCTGTTCCTGAGGAGAATGTTTGCTCCCGCTGCTGCTGCTGCTGCTGCTGCTGTTGCTGCTGCTGCTGCTGCTGTTGCTGCACTTGTTGCTGCTGCTGCTTATGCTGTTGCTGTTGTTGGTGGTGTATCTGCTGCTGCTGACGTCTCCCTGGGGATCGTCTCCCTGGGGATCGATAGCGGGGCGAGAGGGCCCCCCCTGGGGCCCCCCCTGTGTGGGGCGAGCCCCGACCCCACACCCTCTCCTGGGATCGGGATCGTCTCCACTGTCTCCCCGGGGATCGTCTCCCCGGGGATCGTCTCCCCGGGGATCGTCTCCCTGGGGATCGTTGTTGGGGGGCCCCATAGCCAGGCCAGCTGCTGTCTGGGGATCGTCTCCCCGGGGATCGTCTCCCCGGGGATCGTCTCCCCGGGGATCGTCTCTGTGGGGATCGTCTGTGTGGGGATCGTCTGTGTGGGGATCGTGGTTGTGGGGAGGGATAGCGAGGCCTGGGGCTGTCTGGGGATCGTCTCCTCCC